ATTAATGAGGATATTTATTGCAAATATAAAAAGCGAGAAACCTTTCATCAGTAGAGGTGATATATGTTTTCGCTTTCTCAGGATGTGATGGCCTTTAAATTTCATGGGTTTAAACAAAATCATTTTCTTCAGAAGAAGAATAGCCTACGTATTTATTATCTTTAGTACGAATCCTTGTTTGAAATATATTATGTCCATTTTGTGTAATAACAATGCCCCAGTGAAGTAATAATAGGAGAATATTTAAATGTTCAATACTATGACTACGTAAATAAAACACATCTCCGTAAACGAAACAAGTAGGACATTGACCAAAATGATTTGTACAGAGATGATTGTATATTATAAAAATATTCACCATAAAGTAAATACTCGTAACCCATGGCTGTAAGCATGTTTGTACATTAATTTCACATACTTATATAATCCAAAACAAAGGAACTATCTAAGAAGTGACGCCAAAGGGTAAATCTCTGTGACCAATGCTTTGACCTTTGTTTATTAGTCACATACATGTCAACAACCACTAAATGAGAAACAGTCACCTCTGTCATGAAACAAAGTCATATTTTTATCCAGACGTACTTGAAAACTAATATACATCAACAGTTTTAACAAAGTTGGACTCGCTAAAGAAGATATATAAGTGATCAAACTTAGTTGAATGGACGGCAACTACCTGTTGTAGAAACACTTGAAGACGAAAGGCGGAAGACTTTCGAAAAGTCGTCTTCTACACATGTGTTTCTACAACAGGCAGTTGCCATCCGTTTACCTAAGTTTTGTCATGAATACTCTGACTAAACAATCTATCAAAGAAGATACATAAGTCTTAAAAATCAGACCATAATCAATTATGACATTTAACATAAAAAGCGAGAAACCTTTCATCAGTACAATCTTTTTTTTCAGAATTTGATGTCCTTTAAATTTCATGTGCTTAAACAAAATCGTTTTTTTTTCAGAAGAAAAAGTTAATAATATCCCCTCTATTTTGTTTTCGTATCGATTTTGTTATCATGGTATTGATATGACATCTGATAAGGTCCTCTTTATTTTATCAATTTAGAATGACAGAATTTATGTGCACAGATTTCTCATTTTGATACTTACTTAAACATTATAGTTCATAATGAAAATAAACTGAATAATCAGTTTAAATCGATATTCGCTGAACAAGTGTACCCTATTTTTCAAGTACTGAAGAAACATTGTGATGCATGTGAAATATGATCGTAGTCAAACTATCGTTCTCGTAACATGTTAAGTCATGGTGAATATGTAAGCTTATATACTCTGTCTTCATCATCAACTCCAATTCTCTCTGTTTATGCCTATCTTCTAATTCTATAAACATTTTTCTCAGCTTCTATTTCCAAGCGTTTATTCTGAGCTTCCAAACATTTTATTTCTAACTGTATATCAGCAAATTCTGAATCATTACCATAATAATCTTCGGAACACCACTCGCAGTCCTTGTATTAACACTAAGCTCAAGGCTAGATAAATCTATTGTGCCTCCAGCCTCAATTAAAACTTCGGGTATCTCACCTATTTCTTCCATTTGCTACTACATATTATACCCAGTTTTCTATATTGAATTATCAACTAACTTTTTATAAGTAATTTCGAATTATCTATCATAAATTATCTTGTCTTAAACAAAGAACCACACAATATATAGCCAGTAAAAATTAACAGAACCAATGTCAAAACAAAAACAAGCAAGATAAAAACAAAAAAGGAAACTTACTCCATTCCCAACTTCACTGCTTCAAACAGATTATTTTTCTCCTGGGTTTCATCGATGTGGTTCCAGCTTTAATTCTTACTTCATTGTCGGGTTTCAATTCCCAACGAATTTATAAATCTCATTTCTGAAACCACTTTGTTATGATTATGCCTCTACTCAAGAATTGACTCATATCAGTGTAACATAGCAAATTACTGTTTATTACTAGTAATCAATAACACATAGATTAAAAATAGGTTATGTTTCTTACTGACAGCTTATTACTTTCTTCCTTCGCCTATCTCGGTGTATTTGTTCTCTCTAATATCTCATGGTCCTCTTCTCTCTCTCGTAATTGAACTCCTGTCATTTACATTCCTTTCTCAAACAGACCCCAAACTGACCCCTTCTCTCTGATCTTGCATCTGTTTCCCGTGTATTGGGTTATAACGTTTCATAGCCATAGGGGGGTCTCCATACCTTCTCACTCCAGTAATTGTTTTAATGACTTGTAGTGTTGTAATCCCCTAACACCCTAGAGACTGACAAAAAGCTGGCCACTTTTTCATCTATCTCAACTTCAATCAGTGTTTCTTACACCTAACTTATTTATTTATTTATTGTTACTTTCATTAACGGTATTGGTCCTTTTATTTAGTATATTGAATGTCATTACTTTTCATTTTCTTTACTTTTTATTAGTATAGTTTTATTATAAAGATTGGTTTGCATTTTAGCTTAATATATGTTTTAGGACTAACCTGCATCGTCCAAGATACACGAACCTCTTAATATATTATTGATATTACGATCGAAACATCGTTAACAGCGAGAGTACCCAACTGATGAAACAATGCGTTTCAATCTTTATAAGTAGAAACGTAAGAAGGGTGTTTTTAATCAACTATGCTGATTGTCAGGTGGCTTTTCAGTCTTTCTCCAAGTAAGTAGCTTGCTTTGATTGGAAGCTAGTTTTAAATCCGTTGGGGCTTCTTAGATGCTGATACATCATCCGTGATTCTCGGGCAGATTCACCTTGCGGCCCTCATCTCCTTTACACATAGTCATCCCTAATTTATTAGACAAAAACTAGATGGACGGCACTTAGTCAATACCACCCACCACAAACGTTTAGGATATTCTTTGATTAACTAATAGTGAGATGGAATGTAACATTATTACGCTCTCACGGGTGAAAGGACGAGCATGTTTGGCGACGGAGATTTGAATTCGCAGATTGCGAGTCGAGTACCCTTAACCACCAAGCTCTCGCTAATTCGCCCCTGTTCTGAGATTACATTTTTTATCGTCAAAATTTCTAATTACTAGACTAAGAAAAGAAGAAATATTTAGTAACCACATAGTAGTGAAGTTCACCGATAATATAACTTTTATTCGGAAGCTTCACAAGTAAAATGAAACTATAACAAAATCTGAAATTGATTTGGGGGGGGGGGTTCAATTTCATGACGTCTCACAAATGAAACGAATTATGCTCCGTCTGTAATCAACTTTAAAAAGATTTTGTTTGCTGTTAAGCACAAAGTTACACAGTCTGTGCTCTGATCACTGCGGATATCGAAACCCGAATTTTAACGCTATAAGCTCTCAATATTACGGCTGAGCCGCCAGGGGCTTTAGGGAGGCAGATTAGGCTAATGAAAAAATAACAATAAAACTAGTTATCAGAAACAGACCACCAAGGGTGATAAATTTTCAGTTTGTTTATCGGAAAGTTCAAAACTAGCAGTCCCTAATTTTGAACTTATATGCTGGAGGGAAGTCAACCAGTCAACAACATCCGCTTTAAACTCTTCTCTGGGGGTGCTCTAATAGTGGGATTTGACCATCATTCTTATAAAAACACTCACGGCTTCAAAGTGTAGAACGTCTTTTTGTGGCAAAGAGACGTAAATCAATGACCCTCAAATCCAACGGTCCGTAGGCAAAGCCTGGCCCTGTAACAGTAACAAAAGTGGTTCATAGTTTCAATTATTTCAAAAAATAGTGTGCCACAAAAATAATTAATTTCGTACAAAAAAATCTGAAACAACAATACTGTTGTTTTTTTACTGCTGTTTAGTTGTTAATGCAGTAATCGATCTGCATTACCGAACCAGTGAAAAACAGCTTCAAATACCACATTCGTCACTGTTTTTGGCGCAAATTCTATCGTCCATTTAAGAAATATGTAAACTATGAAAACTGGGCCAGGAAAAATGCCTATATACAAGTCAGATGTCTAGTTTATCCATTGGATATTAAATTATTTTATATGATGAAAACTAAGTATTTTCTCAATACAAAAGCTACCTTTTTATCGAGCCATCCATCCACCAAAAGTTAGTCTAATATTTTAAAGGACGAAGCAGTAAGTTCTTTTTTTTTCATGAAGGTTAAAGTACCGGCTTTGATTTTACAAATTAATTGAATTTGTAATTGTTCTTCCTTAGCTACACGTTTTTCATTTCAGAGAAATCCATTAAACACACGTGTGCATTCTATGACTGACTTAACACATGGATTCCGTAATGCGATACATCTCAGAAATGGAGAGTGTTTCATTAATCCCTTCTTCATGCTTTTAGCACAAGATAAACGAACACATAGCATTTGGCGTTCATAAATCTAAATATATTAAGAACCAACTTCGTCTCATATTTCTATTTACAAAAAATACCACATTATTTTTGTGACAAGAAAATGAAAATACAAAGCCAGTTCCCTTGGCTGTGGTTTCGCTAGATAATAGATAGGGACAATGTAAAACAAAAATAAATTATTTCCTTGGTATCACTTAGCGTTTAACAATAGTAAATGGTAGAAATACTAACTTTACGAATGTGTATGTAAGTGTTAATTATAATTATATAATGCATTTATAAAGAGATATTTTTATCATTCATTTGATATAACAGAGACTATAATATGTGAGTTCAACTGCATTTTGTCTTATTGATCAAGATAATTAAACTTTGATATATGGGAAGCGAGATATCTTAATCAAACAGTTTTTGTAAATGGAGCAAACAGTGCTGGAAAAAAATGCGTTTTATTTTTTGTCGTTTTATCATACAAATGACTTTTTTGTAACCGGGTTTGATTTTTTCGCTTCTTCCTTATAACTTTGTATTTATTAACATTGTTCGCTGAACATTGTTTTGGATTGTTAACCTTATATAACTTAGGTGTTATAACAATTAAAATATAATCTATTTTTGTTTATCTAAAAATAAATGTACTTATCTATGAATCAATATTCAATTAGGAGGGTACACATCTCCAAGGCAACCCTGGATTACTTACAAGGTACTTACGAAGTAGAACCTGGAAACGGCGAGTCACGTGACAGTTATCTACGTAATCATAATGTAGAAACATACCTAATCAAGCGGACAGAGCCCTCAAACAGCAAGAAGGTATGATTTGTTTTTCAGTTCTTGCGACATATGAATTTTAATGTCTTATTCAATGTTTCTATTATTGTTATTTGTTTACCTCGTACTTTTATACAAAAGTAAAAAAACTACATATGTTTCATTTTGAAAGTCGAGGTAGTGCAGATAAACAAAAGTGCTTATTAATAAATTTGGTATTATGTTTTGCATCACTTATTCGACACAGAGGAGGATTGGCCTACCAGGCAATCACCCGGTACTGATTTTAAATTTTAATTGTTTAGCCAGTATGCAGCATCTGATATTGACCGGTTTGGTCCTTTAATGCCAATCCGCCACCGTTTCGAGATTACATTTTTTATTTTGGTCTAAAAGAAACGATAGGCCCAGTCTATTTTTGGACGTGCCTCATATCAATGACTTATACAGGTTTCGGTGAATTACACCCCTCTTTAAGACAAATTGAAGAATAAGATTTTTGGGGGGTGGGGTGACATTGCTATATAAATATAACAAAACTGAGAAAAAAACAACAAAGACAAATGTAAGTTTAACAAATACTTCCTTAATTAATGACCATGGTTTCGCCAATAAAGGTATCATCAGGTACTGACTGAAAAAGAAGAAGAACTGGCAGTTATTTAGATTTAAAAATAATTATTTCCTTCGGAAATAATTATTAATCTGGGTTGTTCGAAGATTAAACAATCCTCCTTCACCCTGCTCGTGGTAATAGATTACATTTCGTCTAGTGGTCACCGGAGTAATGAGCCGTATGGGCGAATAGTTAATTAATTAAAAAAACATTAATTAATTAGTATTTTGTATATATGTATATTTACATATATACTTTGGATGGTCGTATGAAGGAGAGGCAGGTAGGCAAAAGTGAAGGCAAGTCCAAGTCGTAGTAGAAACAGAGACCGGTTATTCTTTGAAGAAGGAGCAAGTCGTCAGCCGAATATGACAAGTTATCGAAACAAAGTGACGCAAACGGGCCTTTTCAGGGCCTGGCGAGGATCAGTGGATCAAGGTGCCAAGGCTGGGATCTACGGATCCAATGCCTGAGAATTAGGTGTGGGGGGGAAACGGGAGTACCCCGAGAAAACCCACTTTCACTAGTCGGGACCAAATACAAGCCCGACTAGTGCCCAAATGAAGATTCATTGACGTGATGAGAACCTGGAATGATACTGAAAAATGTATTGATTAGGCAAAAAGAAAAACAACAGTAAGTTGTGAGTGTTTCTGTTGATCATGAAGGTGTGGTAGTGGTGTTGTGTATCATATTGTATGGGGATAGGTATTTGCACCAAGGTTTGAGGGTGGCGGCAATTTTGTGGAATTCGGCAGTGAGTGAGTTTCGATGAGTGGCTTTTTTTGTAATATTTGACGGCTAGTTTGGAGATGCATAGTGTGTAGTGAAGTGGCATGCGGGTGTGTATTGAGGGAGTCGGTAGGCAAGTCGTATTACTTTGTTTCGCAGCTTTTGAATGATTTGCTGTTGGTTATTATTCATGTTACATGTGATCATTGCGCCGTAATCTAATAATGGTCTAATAAATGTACATCATTATTTGTGGTCTACAACCGCGGGCGTGGTGACTGATTTTGCGGAAGTAGGCTACTCGTACTGACTGAAAGGGTTTGTAAACAGGTTTATATATGTTTAACAAAGAACCGGAAGTAACCTTGAAACAAGTGGGGAGGAGCTTAAGTTGGTTTGGTGGTTTAGAACTTTTTCTGGGTTTGCTTTTAGACTTCTATTTATTTCTAAAATTTCCAGGCTATTTATCTTTTAAACTTTTCTACAGACATGTACAATTTTGCAATTTTCTTCCGGATAAAATTGGGGTTTAGTTTCAATAAGGTGGGATGCAAAGGTTGAACCCATTTTCCTTAATTTTCAGCTTCTAATAATCACAAAAGTAGACAAAGGTAATACGACTGTTATACTTAAAAAACAATATTATCACAGTAAAATCAACGACTTCCATGATTCTAACAATTTCACGCTCCTAAACATAGACCCCACTAAAACCTTTACCAAGAATGTTAAATATATGTTGAACAACAGCAAAAGCCCATTTATCGAACTCCAAACTAATTCGTTAAGCGTTGTGAACCCTCGCCCGCCACGTTTGTATGAACTTTCTAAACTGCACAAAACGAATATTTCTATCAGACCTGTTGTTTCCTATACTAATACTCCCGCTTACAAACTAGCACAAAAATAGCAGAATATTTTCAAAAATTTACTGCTTTTAAACATTAGTTTAGTATTAAAAAACTCTCTGGAGCTTGTAGAAAAAAAAAATGTAAAAATACCGAATAACGCCAAAATTGTTTCGTTTGATGTTTGTTTG